GTAATAAACCTAAATAACTAACTAAAAGTGGCTAATGTGGTAAACTTATGACCATTAAATTTAGGATTTTTGATTAGTTATTTGGTTGTAATTCTTTTCTTTGCTATTCCACAACTTAACCAATTTCATATAGAGGGCTAGAAAAAATGTGTGGAGCAACGGCCACATGCATTTCATTCAAATAAGGCAGAGAGGACAAAAAGAACATATATTCTTACGTACGCTAAGCTTTATAATTAGCCAGACTCATGTTAGGTTCGGTATCATGTGAAATCAAACTTTAATGTCCAATAAAAAAGCTTCACATATTAGCTTTTTCAATAATCCCAATTTTGTTTAACTATAGTATAAATCAACATTTCATTGCATATATACATAGATTATAGATATAATATTATGTGGTCTTTACATCTTTTGAGTCTTTGGTTCGGTTTCATGTGAAATCAATCTTTTGTGTCCAATAAAAAAGCTTCACATATTAGCTTTTTTCAATAATCCCAATATCATTTTATAATAATATAAATCAAACAGTTTGTTGCATTGCATGTATACATATATCATGTGAATCTGCACATATTAAGATCACAGCATTTCTTTTTGAAAATCTTGGGTGATTCGGTAAATATCGGATCTTTGTATATAGTTTCTTGAGTATAACTCAAATGACCGTACGAATCATTAAGAAAACATTATTCTTTACCCTTGTGTTAATCAACGAATTTTCCTTTGCTTGAGGGAAACACATACAAGTTTTGATGCGTATGTGGATCGTCTATGTACAAATGTAAATTTGATGAGTTATATATACGGTTAAATACTTATGAAAATCCACCAACTTTTATTTTTTCCAACTATATTAACAGTAGATTAATTTGACTATCATTCTGAAAGGAAAAAGAAATATTTTCTTAAAGACATAGGATTTGTCCCAAACAGAATCCATGAAAACCATCATTGAAATGTGACGGAATTTCAATTGATATAAAATATTTCACAACTGATTCTTAATTATCATAACACAGACTTAGGAATCTTTTTTTTTTTTAACACATTGTGTTTTTATTTATTGAAACATGTTAAAATCATGACGGATATATAGTTTTTAGAAAAAAAATTACAAAAATGCATGCAAAGTTTATATTATTAAAGGAATGTACAGATAATAGTAAACATTCCGCTTCGATATAGATAAAAGAACAAGATAGATTTAGCCACAACCACTTCTCCTAGATGCTACATATATATTGCAATTACATCTCTTTAATTTTTGTTGTTGGTTTAACCGATTTTTTTTCAAAAGAGTTTTTTTTTATCTAAAGGAGTTGAAAGATTTTCCGCTTCTGACTTGTCATCACTCATCAGAAACCGAAATTTCGTTTTCGTCATTCGAAAAATCCAAAAAAGAAAAACGGTTGGTACTCAAAGTAAAAACTTATTTTTAAAAACTTGGAATCATATATTGTAAGATTATAGTCATTTTGGTGTGTATACCTTTTTTCTTATGAAAATTTCCAGTTTGGTGTCTATGACTGTAATTGAATAGAATTTCATGTATTTTTAAAACAATAAGCTTTTGTATCAAATAAAAACGTATGTCCTAACGTACCTCACCGCTTGTATATACTATTAGCCGACGACGGCTACGGTTTAGGTCATATTAGATAAAGAAGTTTGAATCTATAATTAAAGTCGAATGGAAAAACTTTAATCAAAAGTTTGTGACAAATTCTATATCTTTATATAATTTTTATTATTATAATTTACATTACGCATGTAAAGTTATTACTTGTGAACCACAATAAATAGGCCATATAACGACAACTTTTGAAAATCGGTGAAACCCTAAAATGTGTCGGTATATTATTGTTTTTGGCAATAGATGTTAACATGCAATACTCTTCCCCTTTAAATCATCTTTAACAACATCTGTCGTTTCTATGGAAATGAATTGCAAATATTTGACTGATTAAAAAGAACAAAAGCTACGGATTGTAATAAACAGTATATAAAGCTGTTTTAGATATATAGTTTAGTCTCCAATTCATTTTTTCTATTTATAATAAAAAATATCATAGCAAATCCATTGTTAGATATACGGGGTGGGCAAACGGAAATATGGGATGAGATTTCACGGGAACGGAACGGTAACATGATTTTTGGTACTAGAAAAATATGTCCCATTTGTATCCCATTTAAAATTCGGGATGGAAACGAGATAGAACGGGATAAGACGGAAACGGTACGGGAAATCCCATAACATAACCGGTTTCAAAACAAAAAATCAAATAAAATGATATTGCAAATTGTAAACATGTATTTAACCTACTTCATTCATCAAAAACATTTTCGAAATTAAAAAAAAAAATACTCAATTGTATTTCATAAATGTTTAAAATAAAAAATTATAGTCGAATCAAGATGAATCAAATATAAAGTAAATTGTATAAATATTTCAAATCAAAATATAAATCAAATAATATATTTTTTAAAGTATATTATAAAAAAAGAATAAAAAAATAACATAATGTATTATACAATCTCATATTAGATATATATATATATATAATACAATTTAATATATATTTACATATTTATTTATAGTAAACGGGATTTCAGAAATTCCCGTTTCCGTTCCGTCCCGTTCCCAATCGGAAATTGAAAATTTGTCTTATATGGGAATATGAGAAATATATGGGATGGAAATTTG